TTTGTTTTCTTTTAGAATATACATGCTCTTTATTTTATATAGTATTAACTCTTTATTGATTTATTGAAATGATGTAATTGTAAATTCTTGAAAAATATAAAGGCTAATTATTCATTATTAACATTGTGTAATGTAGAAGAATGCAAATGTGCAAGAAAGTTTTCTCTCCGTTTTCTATTTTCATGCCTTTTATGGCACAAAAAAAAAGAAATTCGTGTAACATGATTTTAAAGCTATTGTTATCCAATTTGTTGGCATTCAAACACCTTAAAATGCACATAAGTAGGTCCGAGAAATCCAAATTTTCTCGGGGGAGCATGCCCCCAAACCCCCCTAAGTTACTCCCAGCATGGTGTTTTTAAACAAACAAATTTAATTTATCTATCGATAAGCCCCGCCCTCCTTAGTTACGCTTGCTATCTCAGACAAACAATGGGGGGCCTGTGCCCCAGTAGAGCTTAATGTCTAGCAACGCCCCTGTGTTCACACATTGGCAATAAACAAGCTATGAATACGTGAAAATTCTAACATATAGCCCATTTAAAATAAAAACTGCACGTGCTTTTATAAACCGTCATTTAGAGCAGGGGTTTACATGGGGTCCGAGGAAGAGAAAGACTGAAAAAACTGTAAAAACAAACAAACAAACAAACAAAACATTTAAATAAATAAATAAGAATCAAATAAATAAGTAGGCCTAGTCCCAAATAAATAAATTAGATTACAATAAATAAATACAAGAACAGCACGATTAAAATAAAAAAATATATGTGATTAATATAAAAAATAAATAATAGGCCTCCATATAACAGTAGGCTACATTACTAAAATGAGCAGAACAAATATATAAAAATGTAACTTCATAGAAACTAATTTTAGAGTTAAAATATTAATTTTGTTTAAATTTGTTTAGTTTGGTGTTTAAATTTGATGTTTATAAAAGATAGATGCCTTTGAAATTTTAGGACGGTGGTCCCTAACGTGAGGATGATCATATTTGTGGGTTTGTGGAAACCCCTAATGTAGAAGAAACTACAACATTTCACTATGTTCCCAGAGTGCAAAAAAAAAAAAAAGACAATTCTCAGTGGTTTGAATTTGACCTTACCCACTACAGCTCAGTCATATCAATGTTACTCGCAGTTACTCAAAACATCCACTGGGAGGCAATGTGGCTCAGCTCTTGCGCTTCAATGGGGAGTGGCACTTTAATGTGAGGCAACACTGGAAGATAGCTAATCACCTGCAGAGAGACGGCATGCTCGCTCATTGCCTTGAGCTGAAAAAAAAAAAAAAAAACTTTGTTATATCCTTTATACTCTGTAGAGGAACAGTGTCTTACAGTTAAATTAGCATTTGGAGTTTGTTGGCCTGTTTACCCTTGTCAAATTGAAAGAGTTGGCTATTTGATTGTGCATTGCAACAGTTCCGTTTTCACCACGCACTGTGACATACTAACTAGAGGAATTTAATAAAACTTCATCATGAGGGTAAGTTGAATTAATCTTAAGTCATACAGAAATGTGCAGTTTGTCAGAGACATTGTGCTTGGATTGATCTGGATGGTTAAACAGCCCAGGGGATGGGGAATGTACTGGTAGCTCAGTTTAGGGGGAACATAACCCAATGTCATACTGGGACAGTGGCCAACAGACCCTTAAAATCAAAGATCTGGGCCATAGGGGAGGAGTAAGCAGTGTACTAGTGCGTTTAAAGTCATTGTGCAATCAACTTTCTTAATACTTATTCTTGGTCTTATTTTGAAGGACAATACTTTGCTGATGTGACCCAGGCTGTGCAGGGGAAAATATTGTTAGTCAAATAGCTATGAGGCTCCTGTATGCATTATGCAGCCTGACTAAAATCTTGCCAATAGTTAACCCTGTAATTTACAATACACTTTAAAAAGTGTTAACATTGGGATTTGATGCTCGAGGTTGAATTTGACCTTCATGCGCTGGTCAGAAAGCCCCTGAAATAATTATAATTCACTGAAACACACATTCAGGTTTGGCTTCATTCTGCTCTGGAACTCAAATATTAGATATTCAAGTCCAGCCGGTGGAATATCCTCCTTCACTTAAAACTATTACATCATATTAGAGAAATATAAAAGATATTGCAAATATGCTATACTGCATTGCATGCCATGTACTGTACATGAAGGGTTTTCTCTTGAGTGTACTGTTGACCTGGAGAGCCTCACTGTACATGTCCTCTATGTGTGTGTGTGTGTGTGTGCTTGTTACAGTAGACGAGGACACTGTTGACCCCCTTAAGGGTATGAGTGGAGAAGGGAGGAGAGCTAATGGTGGGTCAGTTTTCAGAAGAGGGGCCACATTGAAAAGCTCTTAGACTACAAACACACTTACACACACACATCACATATACCTGCAGCCCTGCTTAATGATCCTGCAGTTACCACAGCAACCTGTGAAAGGATACGAGTCATCTCGAAGTGTCTCATGCTCTCTTTCTGTCACTAGATTGTTTATGTTTGTCATATGTCACATACTATAGTCTATGCTTTACACATGAAATAATGTAGAATGATAGGAGAGAAATGGGACGGTAACTAATTTGTAGCCTACTTTGTTACTGTACAAACATTTTAACTTAAAGGGCAACTTAAAGCAAACCCTATTGTGGATTTAAAAACCTACTGTCAGGATTTACTAAAGACAGGTGAAATATTAGCGCTGATAAGCGTGAACTTGGATATTTTTGCGGCTGACCTTATTGCAGTTTCTCTTTCGGGACGCTAAATGTATGGCAAGAGAGTATTGAATCATGAATCATGCAAGGTGATTTAAGATGTATTCAGTGCTAGTCAACTTACTGGTATTTGCTCCATTATTTAAACCCCACAAAAGCACGTCTTAAACCAGGCGCTAATTTGCACTGCTCTTGGTAGATTGCGTTTGTCATTATGGAAATAATACGTCATTGTTCTTTAATTTGCGTGTCATCTGTAGATCATGCGCAGAACTTTCCACTCCCATCAGCGCTTTTTTGGAATTGCGCTTTCACGCTAATTTGCCCTGTTTAGTAAATCTGGCCCTCAGGATCTGTACGTACAGTAATTGACAGTTTTTGCTATGTTTCACAGAACCAAGTTGTAATAGGACAGTTTTAGAGTGTAGCTGGCGACTTACCACCAGCTCTTGCTTGAATATACTCTTGTATACTGCATGTTCATTTTTTGTTGTTCGTTCGTCGGCTTCACTTTATTTTTCATGAAGCATTATTTTGCTTCAGTTTCACTGATAAAGAGACATCCACTCTTGCAGACAGCAACATACATCTGGGCCGACATTATGTTGCTGTCTGGGTTGCTTGTTCATGCATTTTGAGGGCGGAGCAATGAAGGGAGACATGTGTTTGTTTGGGTTGAATTTCAAATATCAACAATGTTTCTCAGAAATCTTTTACTGCACCTTTTAAGCACGGATTCAATGATCCGGTCGGAGAGAGTCTAGTTAACTCAATCTGAATGGGTCTTGTCTGGTTCAAACATAACATGATCCTCAGAATGTGCAGATAAAGTATATCAAATTGAAGTAAAAAAATGAAACAAATGATAGTTACTGTTGGTGTTGTGATATGGGCGTGATTATGCAAATGAGCAGCAACTCTCAGAGATCCAAGAAATGGGATGTGATCCATCACGTGACATTTAGTAGTTTACAGTGATACTGTAAAACTTAGTTATTGTTAGGTGCGATTCTGCTGATCTATCAGATGTGTTTATGCCCATGTACGGGGCTATAATTAAACAACGATTCATGGAAATTCATGTCAAAAGTTGTTAGCATTTCAATTTATGCATTGCTTATTGTTCATCCTGTTCATGACACTGTATGATGACTGTGACAATTTCTATACAAACTCCTGAATTAATTTTAGCTGGTTTTTTGCCTTGTCAAATTACATTTACATTTAAATTTATTCCTTAATCAGACACTTTTACCCAGAGCGAGAATAATTCAAGCAGAAGGAATTAATCGAAAGGCAAACTCTACACAAGTAGTGCCACTATACCAACTTTCCAAAGTATCAGAGTTGTTCAATGCTAGAGTGCAGAAGGGCTGACTTCTTCAAAGGCTAGTTAGTGAAGAGGTCTTCAGCTGTTTTGTGAATTTTTGACTTGACTTGAAATCAGAATCATCTTATTTTACCAGTAATGTGATCAGATTTGAGCGAGGTGTGCAGACAATGAGGTTAAAGCATCTAGCAGAATGGAACGGCCTTTGCAAACAACAACACAGTTTCTCCATAACCTCCTGCAATAAAATCACTGTAAGTGTGAACATCCCACTATGAGGCAGCGTGATTACAGCCCCCGAGCATCATTTGCTGTCCATCAGCGTCTTCAGACTGGACAGCAGGATTCTTGTCTTTGGCAATTACCGACCATGACTCTGGGTTTTTTTTTTTCTGCCTGGTTTTTAACCAGGCAATGGAATTTAACAGCAGCAAGAAAGACCTCACAGATGAAGAGAGAAAGAGACAGAAAAACTTCAGCTGATGTCTTTTGCTGGGTCTTGTAATTGGGGTGATTTCTTTACAATTGTCGTTACTCAAAAAAGCCCTGGAAAAGAGCTAAGCTGTTAAACTAAAAAGAGATCTTAACATTTTATGAGGTGACAAAAAAGTCTTTCTTTCTCTCAAGCAGGCATTCACACACACATTTTTGTCCCCAATAGTCGTCATTAAGTGCAGATTTTCATGGCCAAGAAGAGCAATTACAATTGGCAAACCATAAAACCCCCATCAATTCAGAATCTAAAATCATCATAACCACAACAATGGCCGCCCCATCCAAATAACAAAATAATGAGTGAAATGAACACATACAGATGTAGAAGGGTTTTGAGGCTTGCGGACGGAGCAAACCAATACTCGCTGGTCGCTGCTTTAGTTACTGTAAAGAGAGCTCTCATACAGCATTATTATGAATTCACTGTCAATCATTTGTGTTCTCTGTGTGAAATGCAACACAAACACTCAGACGTTTGCAAGTTTGTTGGTTCCAGATGTCCCAAAACCATTTTCATGAAACACTCAAACACGCATATTCAATTTTTTTTAATACTTTTCCGAGGCTGTCATCTGTATTATTTTTTTTACAGCATTATTTTTATCCAACTACAATTTGATCACAACTTTTTGTCTTACTATATGACATATTTTCTTCATCTTTACAGATAAACAATGCAGCATGACCAGTCAAACATACAGAATCCCCCCCCCCCAAAATAAAATAAAACATTCATACCAACACACTGGCACCATTCTATTGTATACATATAACAAAAGATAATATATATTTATGAATATTCAATAAGAAGAATTATATCAAAGACATGGCCACAGAGTCATTAAAAATAAATCTAATAAATAAATAAGTCAATAATTACAGAAGAACTTTTTTGAGGAAATGGATGATTGATTGAACTCGCTAACCTCACCATTCACAGAAGCAATAATACACATTTTGTACTGTTTTCAGGTCACTGAAACATTAAACTTAGACCAAAACAGTCACTCAGGATGGACCTGCGAAATACTGATTGGTCAGTTTATCTATATTTTACATATGTCCACTTTTTCTCATCACTGTCAGTTAAACTCTTTTCTAATGTTCAGTGCATAGGCAGAAAGTTAAGTCCCTTTCCTAGATTCACTTCCCATGCAGGTCATGTAAACACCACGTTATTCCTATCCAGCCTGATGTGCACTCTCGGACCAGTCAAGCGTTCCCAGGCATCCGGATGCCAAACATGCTGAGGTCCCACCGTGTAGCACCATGCCGACCATAAAAGATCGGACCGTAACCTCATGGTGGTATCTGCCTCCTGAGTCCCACCTCTGCATAGAAATGCCATATGGAAGGTGGAGGTATGAACAACACTATACCGTAGTCTCGTACTCCATCACTTCTTTGGGGTTGCTGAAGCTCTGGTACTGGATTCGGGGCGTCACAGGAGACGTATTCTCTAGCACCAGGATGGTCTTCCTCAGCCTACGGTCGATAAAGTGGGCGTCCCAGGCCGGGTACCTTTTTCTTGGGAGGTCGATGCGGATAACGGGACCTTCAGTTCTTGATGGACGTGGGGAAGAAGCTGGGGGAACACTAGGAGGCCTTACCTGAAACACAGGGAGGCAACTGTCTCTATCCCCGGCCCCAATCTCCCGATCCCCACCATTAGTCCTCTGGAGTGTTCTGGGAGGGCTAGTAACCACGTCCGGTTGGGGCAAGGGTGTCCCCAAATCCCCAACGCCTCCCAGGCCGATTACCCCCATTCCCTCCTCCACACAGCTCCACTGAGCGCCCAGGATGGGTCCGTCCGGGTGGAGCAGACAATAATAGACGAACATAAAGAACGTTCCCAAAGCGTAGCTACACACAACCACACATACGACGATCAGGGCGTAGAAGTCCAAAGTGCGAGGTCCCCTGTGAATATACCAAGCGGTGGTGAGTGCGACATTCTCAACTAAGGTCACGCAGCAATACACACCCAGCCGAAAGCGGGCACGGCCTTCCTTCACATTGAACCAGCAAAAGATGTAGATGATGCCCACCACCATGTTGTAGATGATCTCCTCCCACTTTGACATGCAGAAGTCGGTCTCGCCCTGGATGATCCAGAAGGTCATGGCGCACCAGTGGGCCACGATGAAGATCCCGAAGTAGAGCTGGAAGACTGATGCGAAGAGGGCGAAGGCGATGGTTCGAGCACCGATGGTGAAGAGATGCCAGAGCATCTGAACAATCACAGCCTTGTAGGACATGGGGAGTTTATCATCACGAGAGTCGCGCAGAACCTTCTGGTAGGAAGCGATCATCCAGGCGAGTGAAACCAATGAGGCAGATGCAGAGAGACCTACAGAGACACAGCAAGAAGAACAGAGAGACCGCTTAAGTAATGAAGCATAAAGCCAGAAAACACTTTACAAATGTATGCAAAATAAACTTGGCAATTGCACTGCAAGGCATGTTCTACATACATATGAGATGTTTCTTGCATTACAGTGCTGGTTAACAAACCTTACTCAAGGCTCAATGGAGTTACCTTTAAATGTCTGTGCTATTAAACAGGATTTGCTATTGTTCATGTAGCAGTATAAATGTCAACAATTTAACTAATTCTTAACTAACGTGCTCAGCAAGATTCCCTTCAAACTGCTGCCACACCATGACAGTAAACTAGCCATAGATGATGCTAAACCACTGCTGCTTAAAAGAACAGCTTGGACCAGTGCCATGAAGTTCCATGCTGGTCCAAGCTGGTTTATGCTAGTGCGGTGCTAGTCTAGCTGGTAGATTGCTATTGGTAATGTTAAAATGAAAACATTTTCATGAACTGAAACAATAACCGAAAAAACTGAAACTAAACAAAATACTGTTCAGGATTCCAACCCCCCCCCCCCCCCCCCCCCCCACCAAAAAAAGGCCACAAATTATTTTTACTTTTTGATACATGGCATATTTAAACTTCAAATCTTTACAACCCGCCTGTATTGAAAAATGAAAAGGCCACTTGATAGCACTCAATTAACAAGACTACTGTAAAACATTTTTAAGCCATACAGTTGGTGCATATAACTTTGGTAGCCCTAAATACTAAAACGAAAAAATAAATATATAAATAAAAAAATAAACCGAAAATATGGAAATTCTGGAAAACTAAATTCAATTGAAAATAGAAACAGAAATAAAATAAAAATAGCGAAAAACTATAAGAACCCTTCAAGCAAAACAGCTTGTTTTTTTCTGGTGATGCTGAGAAATGCTTGAGAAATGACGTTTTGCTGGTTAGACTAGTCAAGAAGCTGGAACACCAGTACAACAGGATCACATGCTGGGCTCCAGCAAACAAAACACAACACCAGCTCTTTTTAAAATTTTCAGCAGGAAATGCCTTGTAGCTGAGAATGCAGTGCATTGCGTTAAGAATTGCATTCTGACACATTTTGAAAGGCAACGATGCATGAAATCAAGCCTGCATAGCTAGAAGCGTTTGCATTCACACACATGCATACAGCAGATTTCAGGTCTGAGTGTGAAAATGACTGGTCATTTGAAAGAACAGTCATTTAAACCGCACAAATTGTAGAAATGATACACAAAATGTAAATGGATGTTATAAAACCTTATGAAAATACATTTTAAGTCTGTCTAAAAGGTTAGTTTATAGCTCAGTCTATAGTGTAGGTATCTTATACAGATGCAAATGAGACACGTGTGATAGCATGAGAGTCTCACTCTCTCACGCTGCCCAAGTAAACCCAGACAGCAACATAGTCTCTGGCCAGATCCGGCCCTCATCTGGTACACGTGGAATCCACACGTACCAGATGTGGGCCGGATCTGGGCCGAACACACGTATTGACAAGGTATAGGTTTTAATCACAAAAATGTACCAATCACAATTTCTACACATCGTGCAAGGTCACTGTATAAACTGCTGACCCACCTGTGCATATAGTAATTGACCTATGGCTAAGCCACGCCCCCTCCACTCACTCGGACAAACAGTCAACATTCGGTGACAGGCGCTGTCACAGTAGGAGACATTTCACAGGTGGCAATTGATGATTTTTGGAGACAGAAAGATTATATATCATCTCAAAGTCACCGAAAGGCCTTAACTATTCATTGGAGGGTTATATTAATAATTTTATTGTTGAGAAGGTTGAAAGCTTCAGCTCCAGGCAAAAATGTACAGGTCACAGTGTAAACGTGATAAACCGCATCTCGTTGCCATCACCATCTCAGACAACAAGATAGAGGATCAGCATTGTTCATGCACTGCAGTATTTACATGAATCATTCAGCACAACATTGCTAACATTTGTTATCTCGGTTATTTAAAGATACGTTAATGAAGCTAAGTGAGATGTACAACGCAGCTAGAAGCTAACGTCAACGTTTTCTAATGTTAGGCTAACGTTAGCCTAACGTTACGTTTGAGATGTTAAAGATAACATTCAAATACGTTGTTGACTTAGAACAGATGTAGACATCCTTGTTTAATTCTTGTTTAATTTATCCACGTTTAGTTGGTGTTGTGGTCTACCGCATAACTTTATCCAGAGCAGTCACTTATCTCGGTTGAGATGTGGCTTGGGAAATGGTAAAAAATACACACCGTCGCCCTGCCTCTCGGGATACCTAGTGTCGGAGTTGCATGTACCCCATGCACACCGTTTGACCATTTTAAACTTAAAATGACAAGAAAAAACATATAAAAACGAATGAAAACTGACTAACTGCAATGCATTTCAATGGACGTGGAAGCAGAGAATGTCCGAGTGTATTGGGTTAGCTATGCGCACTGTGATTGGCTCATCGCGTTTGGGGGCGTGGCTTAGCCATAGGTCAATTGTGCACAAAAAGCAGATTTACATGTCTAAGATAGCTATTGTACTTGATATTTAGCTACTGTACTTGATATTTATCCAAATTAAATGATATTGAATGAAGATCGGAATCGTATCACAAGCTTATGAATTGAAACTCTTCTTTTTTTTTTTTACATCAGGCAGCAACCTGGGTGTTGCATGAAGCTCCTATAGCAGTAGCCAATTAACACTAGAAGTGCCAGAATTCCATAACTAGAACTGCCACAAGATAGATTCCAAACTCTATATCTTTAATGATAAATACCCAATTGAGAGATTAATGCATTTATTGTATTAGGATATCTTTAAAAAAAACAAAACAACACCAAACTGTACCTTTAAACAAGTTTAATTATACATTTATAAATAATAATATATCATTAGTAGCCTACCGTAATTATCGCATATTCACAACAGATAGGCTATTTTCATATCCATTCAACACAACTCAGAAGAAGATAATAACAACTAAAAGTATTATTTAGATATTCTGTTGACAGTGAGAGAGACAAAGGTCAACCGCGGGAAATGTAACAAAAGAATACCGTGAAATTCAGTGCGGTCAGTATGACCGTCTATGGCTGAAATAGGTAAATATGTTCATTTGTTTTTTTGCCTTGTGTGTAATTTATATGAAAAACATTTTAACTGAAAATACAGACACTTTTAGGTAAAGTCAGCTATCAGCAGGATTTCTTTTCTTTTTTTTTTCAACAAAGTTATTGCAGATATAAAATTCAAAATGACCGTCATGGCCGTTCTAGTGTTAAATAGCCTCTAAAAGGCAAGTACTAAATATAAAACCTAATCAAAATCATTAAGAATCACTACATTTCCACATTCTCAGACTTCTGCCTTCAATAATTAATTAGATATGATTCATTGCTAAATGAACATGCGATTGAATAATTAACTTTCAAAACATGAATAATTTAGGCCCTAATTGATGTCGCTTGCCTCTCTGGACTCATAATATATGAATGTGCGAATATACCTTGCATCATTTTGAGAGAATATATTCTTACGAGGCAAAGAAGCAAAGCGATTTTAATTCCAGACATCACGCATCAAACACACACACGGCTCTTATGAAACACAAACTGACGTGAGCTGGCAGAGATGCGAGAGCTGCTCTTTCAAGGGTGATGGCAGGAAAAAAGAAACTGTTCAAAGTTTTGTAACGTTTGTTGCTCTTGTTTTAGATTTCAAATCATATTTCATAGAAGCTACAACACCTGCTGAGACAACAAATCGCAGGGCTTGTTCCCCAACTGCCTGAGAGGATGTCTCTCTAGAGAGACTGAGTGTGAGTGTGTGTGTTTGACTTGCTGACAGGGGAGACAGACGGGCGCTTTATATTTTGTTTGCGAGTAGTACGCTAAAGCGCAAGGTAGAGTGAAAAGGTGAAGAGGAGGTGTGTGTGTGTGAGTGTGTGTGCGATTGAGAGATGTGCAGCAATCTCAGGAGGCTTCCACACTGAGCTGATGTTATCATGGGGATCAGCTCTTAAATACAGCTCACTGCATGTTTGTGTATCTGGTGGGTCCAGGCAGATTGGCTTTATTCTGGTGCTTGATTCCTCTCCTGTCCTACTACAAGCACACACACACACACACACACACACACACACACACTTGTAACTTCAACCCATTTAAAGTGTCATGAAACCCCCTGTTTTTAGCACTGCTTGTTCACACCTCTGATTTGAAAAAGCCTCAAAAAATGGGCGTGTAAAGCTGTGGAAAAGTGGGAGTGTAGAGGGAGGGAAGAAGGAAGGCAACAACCAATAAAACACAGACCTGCAACACACTCATTATACAGTCGAATGAATATGTAAATATGAGCGAAGAAAAACAAACAACAGATTTGGAGGTACCTTGATGTATTTTAAAAATATAACCCTATATGACAACAAACTCACAAAAATCGTATCATTGGAGACTATTACCAACTGTCACAAACGAAGCAAATACGTTTCGTTAAATTATTCTCCTAAATATCAACAAATCAGCATTTTAACTTTGCAGAGCTATTGGTCTAAAAACGAGAATAAAAAGCATAGTTACTTTTTTGTCCATTCTTCTTTGAATTTTCGGTCTACATCATTGTCTTCGGTGTATCAGAATAATCCATCTTGTCATCGCGTTCATGATCAGACGTACTGCTGGATCAGTGTCCATTTTGCACATATATTTTATTAGAAGAAGACATGGTGAAATATGTGCGCTGCATGGTTCATTTTTTGGAACAAGTGAGAATGAAATATACAGATAAAAACTTGAAACACACTTGCTCCAGTTATGAATTTTGATTGTTGATCCTGGTTCAAATTAGTAATCGACTAATAAGGATTTTTATATCCGGGCCTCATCTGGGACAACTATAGCACATATGGCTAAGTTCTGGCCCGCACACATCAAGCCGGTTTTAGTGTGAGTTGTGGCTTGCTGTGTGTGGGCCCATGTGACTTTTGCCGCTGCAGAACTGAACCATATGTGCCATAGTTGGCCCAGGTGAGGCCCAAATATGTATGCTATTGAAGTAAAGTAACATGCTAAAAATGTGTTAAACAGTTCTGAATACTAATTTATTAAACGGAGCTATTACAGAGGATGAGTCTGCGCTCAAGCACTGTGTTCTTAGCGCTGTCAAAATAAGTTGCTTATCAGCTAAACAGAAAACCGTATCAGCTGATGGCGATAATTATATATTGACCATGTCAACCACTAGTATAAATCATTTTGTACAAGCCTGACCCTTGCTTTTTATTGAGTGTTTACTCTTTTGCATTTAATTTCCTCTCCATCTCTCTCTCTCTCTCTCTCTCTCATCTCTCTCTCTCTCTCTCTCATCTCTCTCTCTCTCTCTCTCTCTCTCTCTCTCTCTCTCTCTCTCTCTCTCTCTCTCTCTCTCTCTCAGCCCTCGTTCTGAGCAACTCATTTGGTGCAGATCCAGATTAAGTGAGGTCTTAATTAGCACAGATCTGAAAGGCATTAGTCTGCGTTTTCCCGCTCCGCTTCCAGCTTGCCCGCATGCCTCTCCACGTTCTCTCCCGGCCTCTTTTCAGAGGCTCTCATGGAGCAATGCGCTGGCAATCTTAATTAAATCAAAACATCAGACGCAGCGCAAGCCCGCTGCCACAAAGACTGTCTCAGATTAGAATGCAGTTTAAAGAGAAAGGGATAAGACAAGTTAAAGCCCAGCACTGCCAGTGCTGAGAGAGAGAGAGAGAGAGAGAGGGAGGGAGGGAAGTTTAAGTTGCTACTGCGCTGCATTTAACATGATGTGGTGGAAGAAAGTGCAGGAGATGTTTGATAATGCGTTTGATAACAGTATTTGTGCTTTAGATTGAATTAAACGGCTACATGGCAGTTACAGTCAAGTCCTCAAAGAACAAAAACTCTCTACAAGACCTCAAGGACCTTAAAACACACAATGGGGAATACACAAAGAAAGAATTGTGCTGGCTGATTGTGCGGTTAATTTGCATGCCATGTCTGTGTTGTTTCATTTTCTAAAATGCTCTTCTGTGAATTACTTTCTTATGCTAGTGAATAACCTTGCTTAAAAACAGCTCAAGCCTCTATTACTAGTTTAAAAGCATCACCTATGTGTTGAAAGTAATGTGTTTGAACAAGTAACAACTTGGTTTTGTTTTAAGCATTAGAGAAACACATTTCTGTGTGTGTGGGTAAACTTTGAATGAGAGAGAAGAGTGTTCATGATTACCTGTGGCTTCTCTGGCTGTCAACCAAATACTTAAGTGATTTATTCACATTATTACGGTATTTTTAGCTAGGAAAAAAAATGGTTATCTTTTGCTTTTTTTGTAACAGGCCTGCAGTTTACCTAAATTTTTTAAAAAGTAATAATTTCATGCCCTTTGACTATACACTGTGTATATAATATATATATATATAAAATATTAGTGATGCGCAGATCGGAATTTCATGGAAACGAATAAAACTTACCAAACATGCTCTGAAGAGGGTATGTTAATTAACACAATTATGTAATAATAACATAATAATAAATATTTTAAATCAGATTGAATAAAACATCTTAATGCTTTTAATACTTGCAAGTCACGAGACAAGTAGGGAATGTAAAACTAGTCTTATGCGCTTTAGGAAACTTATATATAAAAAAATCAATCAATAAAAAGGCATTTTAAAAAGCCCTCCGAAGCTCACAATGTTACAATTGTATATAGCCAGGAAAATCATAGCGAATATATTGTTAAAGGCACAAATGTAAATTTCGCCGCTAGATTTAAAACAAAAGGCGTGGCTTGATGATGCCGTGAATGAGCGTTTAGATTCATGGGAGTTGTCGTCTTTACCTCCCCAGCTGATGGAAAGCTATCATCTGTTTTGGCATCCCTCCACCTCCCCAACCCCACCAACTTAATTAGGCATCTTGTTACCATACTCATCATCCAAGCATTAGTAGTCCCACTGGGGGATATATATAGTATATATATATATGACCTTCCTTCCTCGAGCCCCTCTACTGCGGACAGCAAGCCAAATACAGGGAAATTGAGGGAAATGCTTATATGGCGTCATTGACAGGCGACGCAATGACACGGACATGGTCCGTGTCCTGGTTAAGATTGCTTAGTTCCCTGGATTTAAACATTGTTGGAAACGTTTGAGATAATGTAAGTACACAAGGTCAACAAATATATATAACATTGTTCTAGTGGATTTTTGTATATTTTTTTCAAATATCGTACATATTGTGCCTTTAATATTCCTAGTAGACATCTCTTTGTAGGTCCATTCATTTGAAGCTTAGTTCTTTAAAAAGGACATAGTTAAGTGAAACTGTAATGTGCTCAACAAACTAGGCGCTACTCTACTTCATAGCAGTGCAGTTATAGAAAAACAACATCATCCCATCAGAATCATTGAATAAAACAGCATTGCCATAGTATAGGAGACTGCACCCCTCAGAGCGCTCACTTCAAGTGCTCTGCTCTCCACAGTGAGTGCGGCATACAGGCGCTCACTTTCAAATGGAATTTGCTGACACAATGTAAAGGTCAAAGGTCTGAGTCAGACTGACAGGCAGAGCCATGAGACCAGATGAAAAAACAAAGGAAAAGCCAGTGAAAGAAGATAAGAACAACAAGGTAAAAGCCTTTCTGTTTGGTAGTTGGAAACCAAACCCATGACCCAGAATTAATCAGAACATCTCTGAGTCTGTTCAGTCCTACAGTGTGTCCCTCTGAGCTCTCTGTGCGGCTGCTATACACCTAATCCTCTCTCTCTCTCTCTCTCTCTCATCTCTCTCTCTCTCTCTCTCTCTCTCTCTCTCTCTCTCTCTCTCTCTCTCTCTCTCTCTTCTCTCTCTCTCTCTCTCTCTCTCTCTCTCTCTCTCTCTCTCTCTCTCTCTCTCTCTCTCTCTCTCTCTCTCATTCTATCTTCTCGTCTTTTTCTGCTGACTATCCTTTTCCTCTCATCTTTTGTCTCCTGAGTGCTGTTCTCTCTCCCAGTGGTGTGTGTGGTGGACTTCTGAGGAAGCAAAAAAGTCCTCTCTGTGTTTTTTGTAAATTTTTTACCTTACTTTAATGATTTATACATCATTAAATCTCATTGTTCTATATAATAAGAATATACTATATATATATATATATATATATATATATATATATATATATATATAAAATACCCTCCAAAAGTTTGGAATTGGTCTCTTATGCTCAGCAAGACTATATATATATATATATAATATATATATATATATATATATATATATATATATATATATATATATATAAATTGTGAATGTTTTCTATTTTAATATATTTTAAAATGTAGTTTATTCCTGTGGTCAAAGCTGAATTTCCAGCATCATCATTACTCCAGTCTTCAGTGTCACATGATCCTTCAGAAATCAATATAATATGCTGATTTTATGCTCAAGAAACATTTCTCATTATTATCAATGGTGAAAACAGTTGTGTTGCTTCATATTTTTGTGGAAAACATCTTTTTTTTTCAGGATTCTTTGATGAATAGAAAGTAAATCATTTATTTAAAATATATATATTTTTAAAACAAAATATCTTTACTGTCACTTTTGTTCAATTTAATTCATCCTTGCTTTTGAATGGTAGTGTGCTTTTATTATTATTATTATTTATCATTTTTATTATTAAACTGTTGATTATTTTATATATTTTCATATCATACCTATTGCTGTCCTCCCCTCCCCCCCCCCCCCATGCTTGTATCTGAGTTGCCAGAGTCATTTCATATGCCATTGCACAGAGTTGAGCATGTTAAACGTTTTGTTTAATTCATCACAAGCAAAACTCTTCTCAGGAGTGGCCAGATGAATAAGTCATGACGATCAAAGCACAATCGCACAAGTGTTCTGTCCTCTCTCTCTCGTTCTCAACACTTCCCATTATATATGCACAACTAAAAGCATCTCATGGAAACCTTGTGTGTGTGTGTGTGTGTGTGTGTGTGTGTGTGTTCTCTCACCCTGTAGGGGCAGTATGTGGTTGCTGTGGATCATGATGCTGAGCTGTAGCACGAGCTGAGGTGCGCTCTTCAGGAAAGCCTCCAGCAGCCGAAGCATGTTGATGTCAGCGCTCTCGAACATCAGACGCCAGTAGAAATGACGCTGACCCGGGTCGCTATGCCAACGACTTTGCACTCCCAGGTACAAGGTGTGGACGTACCTAGAAACATGCAGAGGGGAAATGTCAAGTTGTTATTTAGGTTCAGTAATTAAAGGTCAAACGACGTTCCATTCTTGCTCTCTGTAGCCACTCTTTAAAAGGTTTGTAAATATACATTAACAGTTAGACCACTGCAGGTAATGGTCAGAAATTAACCAGGGTTTCAAAATGGCAATTATTCAATAATTAAATGTATTAAATAATTATTCAAATATTCAGGCCTAATTAGTGAAGCATTTAGTACAGTGTTTTGTTCTGCTGTGGTGGAATCCCACCAATGCACGAAAGTAGTTTACTGTACAAACAAACATATCTTGATATTACCAATATGCATATTTATGACAAGAAAAATTCACAATTTTGAATATGCATAAACAACAGCAGAAGTTTGATTTACCAGCCAAACACATAAAACAAACGCTGGGCCAAATATTTTCTCCAAATATATTTGTGACAGTATAAAGTGACTGATCAATTGACCATAGAGTTTGATTGGATGCTCAGCTTTTCTCATCCGCCTTTCTCTCCAATTCAGCACTGTTTTTCCTTGCTGCCTGTTTGTTATTTTATACAGCTTTCTACTGGGTAATCTAACAGAGTTTTGGACTGGTTTTAAAGTCCACTCTAGCAGAGCACTTCTTTTTTAGATTTAGAATTCCAATTAATTCATTCAAATGAAGTATTTGCTGAGTCTTATATGGTTCCAAAAACATGCCTTAAGGTAAAAACTGCAGCTGAAAATAAATTCCAGTTGAGGAGAATAACTTCTGACACTGCTGCTAGAAAATGATATTGGTTTTATTTAAATGTAGTTAACGTTCTTATTTGCATATTCATGGGGTTAATAACATTGATTGGACATGAACATGATGCAACCTGTTGGAATATTTGCATATGCGAAACATTGCTACAAAAATCAGCTATTTGTCTTATATCTCTTGAAATATACCACAAACACAATACTGCCTCTCTATCAGTTCAGTTAATGCGTTAGCCATCACTGTTTTTGACATTTTTAACTTCATCCCCTCAGACACTGAAACTAAACACAGTGTGTGAGTGAGTGTGACTTGCACAAAGTGCATGAATATTTAATGAGGTAGGCATTAAATGTTGTTACATTTGAGTTGTGGCTTTTGAAAGGAGCGTTTTCTCTCTCTTTGGCCAATCTATAAAAAAGCCTGTAAAATGACAAAATATCAAACTACTGTAGGGAAATTCTGGTGGAAACCTGGTTGAATGGCAAGTAGGTGAGACAGGTCTAGTACCTAAACTATCTGAAAACAAGCTTTGGCTGAGCTGAGTGAACTGACTGTCAAAGTGCCCATCACAATATGACACCACCAGGAGAGTGGCACTGAGCGCTTTTCACCTGTCAGCAGCTTTTGGCAGGAGAAGAAAAAGACACAACCCGATACCATATAAACACACACGCGGTCAATGCTGTGAGCATAAGCTCAAGCCATCTTTTTTTTGTTCAGAAGGATGCACTGAATGTGTCCATGGACAAAGATAACTGAATGACTGATTCTTTCTCTTTCAGACAATTTTCAGATTCATTTTCTCAAATTCTATTCAATCTCTTTCTCCTTTTCACTGTCAAATTGATTTACTTACTTCAATAATCAATTAGATTCTCAATTCTCAATTACTTCAACTGAATTGGAGTAATGTTAAAGGCTCAGGGAAGAAGAAGACGAGAACAGGCAACCGTTCAACGTATTTTTTATTACCAATTAAACAAACAACAAAACGAAAGTAAAGCGGTAGCCCCTCAAGGACAACTGCCACATAAACTAAAACAAAACAACAACAAAGTCCAGGTCTAGTCCTCTCTCGTCCTTCACTTTCGTCACTATTTGATTTCTCGTTTAGCCCGGCCCAGTAAAAATGTTTACTTGCTTGCTAAAATATTACGGGGCTTTTCCCCCACAAAAACAGCCTTGTGCTTCTTCATTCTAAACTTTTCTTCACAGGTTCAAGGAGAGTGATCATTTATGGAAAAATCAGAGATGAAGAGTATAAGTGTGATGATATGACTTAAAATTTGTCTTTTTGTTTATTATTGTGATTATGGGTAATCAGAATGATAAAAAGTGAGGAGTTGTGGTGGCAATTTTAATGATATTCATTGATCTTTAGTTAAATATAGATGATTCAAAGAATGTCACATGTGTGTCTCTCACTTGTAGTGAGAGAAGATTCTGTTTATGTACCTGGGGAGGCAGAAGGGGGAGACACTCCAGAGAACAGACGAACAAGGACCTCTGACCTAGATGTCAGAAGGCCATTTGGTGCAGGGGAGCTTAGTGGGCCAACTAGGGACATCTATGGAAAACTACTGGGAGGAAGGCTCTGGGGGGAAGAAGGCCTTGAAACTAAGATAAAAGCTAGTTCAGTCTGTCTGGGGGTGTGTCACTCTTCTGCACAGGGTAACAACTGTGTATTAGACTGCTCCTATTCTTGCAAGAATAAATACTTCTATTTTATATAATTTGACTCTGAGTGTCTCTTACGCAGTGATGTTTGTTTGAGATGAATTTTTGCCACAACAATACATTTTTATATTTTTCAGAAAAATTGCTAGAGAAAACCCTTATACATTGCCTGGGGTCATGTGGAGCCCTTTGAAGCTGCCTAAAAATGTATTTTGGACTGTCAAAAATGGACTACGGTGAGCCTTGTTCACTTGCAATAGATGGAGAAAAATCCTGGGATGGTTTTCTTTTTCAACACAGTCTCATCCCAAGGCGTCATCTAACTGACGCTTCTGACCATGCGTCAACATGCCGACGCACACACCACCCCCCAAACGTCAACATGAGACGCTCATCCTCGGGCGTCATCAAATGCCGCGCACCCTTTAGCGTCAGTTAGATGACGCTTCCGTTATGGGTAGGTTTAGGTCTGGGGTAGGGTTAGGATTAGACCACTAGGAGGCGCGTCTCATATTGACGCTCAAGGGGTACCCTGTGCGTCGGCATATTGACGCATGGCCAAACATGGTCAAAAGCGTCAGTAAGATGACGCCTTGGGTGTGAGACTGGGCTGCTCAAAAAACATAATTTTTCTTCGACAAAAAAAAAAAAAAAAGTCAAATACTTATTGGACTGCCTGGGGATGTGTAAATAATCATTTTTGGGTGAACTATTCCTTTAAACTTTATTCTATTGCACTTTCAAGCTGAATTCTAAAATTAAATTGGTTCAGTTAAACAATTCAACACTGATTTAAAATAACTCTCAAAATCATCTGCAGAATGTTCGTATTGATTTGATTTAAATAAATTAAGTCACTAAAGTCGCATAAAGTTGTAAGTCGCTTTGGATAAAAGCGTCTGCTAAATGACTAAATGTAAATTATGTATTATGTATTGTGAAAATTTGTAGAACTTATTCAATTAAAGAATTCTCAGATTCAATTAAATCTCTTGTTCTCAATCCTGTTGTCTTTTTCTTTCTCTTTCTACCTCTCTCTTATCTTGGCTCTAACCAGCTTCAGGCCAGCTGCATTATCTAAAGGCGGCAGAAGAATACTTTATCCCGAGCTCTACACTTTCAGCCTGCAACGGGAGGGATTTTTTCATGCTTAACTCTGATAGGCGGTGAGGGCCAAAGATTGCATTTCATGCTTCTCTCTGATAGGCTAAAGGTTTTAAGGGAACTGAGCCTGCGTAGCACTATATGGGAGATTTTGAGATGATCCATTGCCAAGTGCTCCATGTGAAGTGAATGTACAAAAAAAATTTATCAGAGAGAGAGAGAGAAACGAGAAAGACAGAACCGAAAGCAAAGACATGCCAAATAAAAAAAAAAATCAGAAACAATATGCTACAATTTGTGCTGTCTGTGTGTGTGGTGTCTCAGACAGACGTTTAGCCAGCATGTGCGCTCCAGCACATCCATTATCAAAAGGATGAATTCATCTTGAGGTCTCCAGGGCTCTGGAGTGGTTTGGAGTGATGAAGCCTGTGCAAAATCAGAGAACCAACTCAGATGCAGCAAGAATCTAGTTTTTCTACAAATTTATCTTAGAGAAATGCCTTTTTGAGGCTGATGAAGAATCGTAAGGACAGGTAGCAGTGGAACACATTGCAGATGAACCTGAGAACAAGAGAGAAGAGACTAAAGCAACCAAGCTTTACAGTATGAAGGACTTCAATTGCATTACGCATTGATTCTGGCATAATGAACCCTGATTACTTTATACACAGGACCTGAAGGAGAGCAGAGAGTTCCATGTAAGGAACTATACAGAGAGACAGAAAGAGAGAGCGAGAAAGAGAAACTGAGCATGTATGCGTGTGGTTAATTTATCCTCTGCAGTAATTAGCACCCCTGTCCCTGTTGAGACTGCCGAGAAGCATTCTTGTCTAACACGCTTACAGTCAACACTATTTAACGCCGTCCGAATTTCAGCAGTAAACAGCATTATTATCGGGTGTCTATTAGCAGATGTGCCATCTGCTGTGTATAGAAATGAAGGAATGCGTGAAACTTCCAAATTGAATCTGAATTTCTCACAACTGAAATCAACAGAGGATCTGTAATTCAGTTGATTCCATTAAAGAATGAAGAATTCTAAAATTCACTGGTTCAGCCAAGTCCAGCTCGGCTCATTTCCTGCACGGATTAGGCTAAAAAAATGTCTTTCACTAATCAGACATAACATATTTTTTTGTTATTGTGGCATTTATGTGATTATGACACTGCACCTTTAAAGTTGTGTTAAAATCGAAGTAACAGGAAGCTCGAACCGAATGCTGCTCTCCTTCCCTTATAATCCCTTCTTTATCCATAATTTTCCTTTCATCTCCCAGTTTTCCCACTCCAGGTCTATGTGGAGTTACTCAGAGGCAGCACTAAAGGCTATGTATCTGTGCCATGTTGTCCCTTCTGCTCTCATAGTTAGCCGCTGGTCCTGTCTGGAACCACAGCATCAATATTCTACTACAGAATCACAAGTCAAACTTCTATACACTGAAAATGTGCTGAAACTAC